ATTGCATTCTTTTTTTTTCCACACCATGCTTTATTTGGTATTGAAGTATAAAGTGTGACCGGGCAGCACATTTTCCTTTTTCTCCCGCAGTTAACCTCATCTAAAATTTAAGCAGCGTCAGAAGGAGCTTCCCGATTGAGCTCCCTGGCCACGTGGCAATAGTGGAAAAACGAGGAGCGGGGAGAAATGATTGAGATGGCTGTGCTTAGAAAAGTAAGCAAGTCACTGGGTTTAAATGAAATGAACCCTGTAGTTTTATGACCAGGAAACAGGAAGACTTTTGTGCTTGTTACTTAATACATCTGGCTCTAGGCATTTGGGAATTCCAATAGTTGAAAAAAGAAATCAGTTAACTGAAGGCTAGGAACCTTTTCCCCACCCCAAAATGCCCTGGGGTAATGATGCACATCAGAAGACTTTGTTAGCAGTTATAATGCACAAAGATACAAATCGTGAAAGGCATTTTACCCCACTAAGGTCTGCCTATGACACCTTGCCTGGCATGCCTTTTTTATTTCTCCCATCTCTGACAGGTTGTGGTTTTTTCAGGTCAAAGAACTTGCTGGAGGGGTACAAATCAGTCATGACATATATCAAGGCTTCACTTAGCCACTGAGCCACTCTACTTCTTTGTGAGGAAATTATATTTCTCTGGGAAATACTGAGCAAACAATAAAAACCTAGTAGGAACACAGTCTGCATTTTTTTTTTTTTTTATTGTAAAGCTTCACAATTTTTAAGTTCAAAGGTCCTACGATCTGAAATTAAGTTGAGTTCTGGTACATTTTCACATTCCATAAGAGTTTGCAATGACACATTTCATGCATAAAGGGAGGATTAAAAGAAAAAAAAACTGCTTATGAACTGAATTTTTAATACTCTGAATTTTTGTGGTTTGTAACTCAGAATCTTAAATTTCTCTTAATTTGCATCACGCCCTAGGGCACTGTGGTTAATAAATTCATGCAGAGTGCTTAAGAATCTCTGAAAATAGAACATCTGCGTGTGGACTCTTAGAGGAACACTAGGACTATGAGTTTGTAGCAATGCTGGGTCCTTCTCTAACCAACAGTGATCCAAGAATATTTCTCATACCTTTTTTTTTTTCAAGTTTTTATTTAAATTCTAGTTAGTTAACATATAGAGTTATATGGGTTGCAGGATCTCATACCTTTAAAAATTGTCTTTCTCTGTCACTACCAATGAACAACAACCAGTTATGGAGTGATGAATGCGTATCAGGCACAGTGCTGAACATAATCTCTTGTAATTCTGACAAACACCCTATGCAGTTGGTGGCATTACCATCTTGCAGATGAAGAAACTGAGGTTAAAGAGAGATTAAACAACATGGCCAAGGTTACGCAGCGAATGGAACATCAAAGACAGGCTTTGGGTTGCTTCCCAACCTCTTGATCTGCATCTTTATACTACACAGACTGAAAACAACGCTGCCCTTTCACTAGAGAAAGGCTTACAGACAAAATACACGAAGAATACCACTGGGAGATACAACAAACATTGTCCTTAACATTCATAGGCTATCACTAATACACATTATGTGCAAAAGACAGAAAGCTTCAGCTTGTGGGTCTTGGACCAACCTTTTTTCAAAATAGCCTTCGGCATCAGTTAGTCTCTTATTATTGGCAAACATTCTCCCTCCTGGCCTGTGCTTAAGCTACATAATTATAATTTTTTTTAACATTTATTGATTTTTGAGAGACAGAGACAGAGCATGAGCGGGGAAGGGGCAGAGAGAGAGGGAGACACAGAATCGGAAGCAGGCTCCAGGATCTCAGCTGTCAGCACAGAGCCCGATGGGGCGCTGGAACCCATGAACTGCGAGATTGTGACCGGAGTGGAAATTGGTAGCTTAACAGGCGCCCCATTAAGCTACATAATTACAAGCCAGCGGGCATGCGTAACAAAGGGCTCAAGAGGCTAAGGATCTCTAGGGTCCCCCATTCCAGCCTGTTTCAGAATCTGCCCATCTGACCTTCATTCCTGCTCGGCTACAGGTAACTTGCTGAATGTACAGGTCATGCAAACAGCTGAAGCATGATCCTTCTTCTTATAAATCAATGCTCATGACCCTTGAAATCACGGATTCTTTCATTTGTACCAACTGGGCCAGGGCAGTGACATATGGAACATCCTCCCTCCAATTAAACCCATAAGTTGCTTGGACATGGAAAAATAAACATATGGAAGCAAAAATCCATCACTGGATTTTAACGGAAGGAGGAGAAAGTAAACAGTGGTATGGAGTGGACACCTGCAAAAATGACCAGAAAAGAGAGGATGAGGCAGTGACAGCACAAGATGCCCTGTTAATGGTCCTTTTTGAATTGAATGGCACGTCTTGAAAATGAAATAGGAAAGCCCTGCAAATTGAAAAAAGCAAATGTCTTCTGATCCTTGTCTAAACTCTGGAATGAACAAGCAAGCCTGATTGTGATCAGTGTCAAACAATATTTACCGATTTCTATGAAACTGTGAATGTAAAGAAAGGGATGTGAGTCATGAGCAACTGAGAGGAAATTAGCTGCAGTATTTACTGTGCAGACTCTGATTCACCATTATTTTGGGAGAAAGCCTGGTTGTTTTTAGTCAATGCATTTACATTCCGTGGGCTTCTCAATTTCATGAAGAAACGTTAGCAAAGAAATGACTTGTGAGTCAATTTAAGTAATATATTACACGCAGGATTCAGCAAAACCAGTGAGACTCCTACATGTTATTTCTTAAAGCAAAATTCAGAGGAGAAATAAATTACCAAAAAAAAAATGTTAATATAGGTTGAGGTCTACCTTAAGGAAACATGATAAGCAATAATTTAGTTTTATTAAATAGATCAACTAAGGGTTAGGTACATGCCTTGGCTGGGATTCATTATTCTCCCTCTCTGTCCCCCCCCCCCAACCCCCCCCACCAGCCATGGACTCCCACAGTTACCAATCATAATGTCCATCAAAAGAGAATCAGTTAAATGAATACTGTCTTTCACATAATGGATGCTAGGCAGCTTTAAAAAGAATGAAAAGAGATGTGTTTATAAAGCGACCTGAAGAAGTAAGACATAGTATGAAATAGTGTGCATAGAAAGCTTTCTCTTTCTGGAAAGCTTAGGATATACACCGAAAAGTCTCACTGAGCCAGTATCCTTCTCTTGACAGCGGTTATCATGGGAAAGGAATGGGGACTACCCTAGTTCACATGTTTCCGTGGTTTGCTTTTTTTCATTTGTTTTCACAATGGATAGGTATAGCTTTTGGTAAACAGTTAAAATAACTAACTATAAATAGAAATGATTTTGAACAAAAGGGTATGCCTGTCATTTCTAACATTTATTTATTACAGATTTGGTCTTCAAGGCAAATTTTCAACTAGGAACAACATTATTCATATCCCTCCTGGAAACTGCGTATATCTTACTTCAATTGATCTTGGTCACAGGGCTCACAGAGACACAATTGTAATTATATGACTGCATACATGCTCTCTTACTGTCCCTCACACAGATGGATATCGGCTGTGAGATGATGTGTTATTATTTTTAGCGATGATTTCTGATAAAGAGCCTCAATGCCCAATAGTCTGCTCCCCTTGGCCACCCTTTTGTGTTGTTTGTGTGAGATTCACAACCACAAAGTGGGGAGAAAAGAGGAGCTTTCTTATTTTCTTAAAGAAAGATGGTGCACATTGATAGAAGCTGAAAACGCACAGAGAATGAAGAACACCGTGGTATGATTACAAGGGTCGCTTTAGGAACAATATGGCTGTTTTTCTAATAGACATTAAAGCATGAGACAGATGGAACGGTAGGAGTTATTTAAGGCTGCGATGTCGGAGTGTGATAACACATGGGCTGCTATTATAGGCCATTGTTCCACTGCAGTGACTGCCAGTGATGGCAGGAGAGCATAGGGAGGGCAGCAAAAGCAGCCAGAGCTGTATGAGTAAGCCTTTATGTCATTATAATACACAGGGGGCCAGGGCAGGCGGGTGGCGATCTATATGGACTCATCCATTCTCACGTGGGCAAAAAAGTATGGTACGTCTGTGCTCGGATCAGGAGAGCTACATAGCCAAAGTCCAAAACGAAAATAATGCAATTTATTAGCTCTGGGAAGCCCAAACCTGATAGAGTTCCCTTCCATATACAGCATGTGACATAATTTTCCTTACAAATAGCAGGCAGGTTTAGCGTAGAAAACTGTGAAACAAAGATAAGTGAAAATAGCAGCGGTAGTAAAAAGATTAGTTGTAACTGTATTACGGAGAGGGAACCAGCACCAAAGAATCTGGCTTCTCTCTTCACAATTCATCCATCTGTTTATCCATCCAGTGCAAATAAGCATATGTATGTTATGTGTATGTACATACCTACATAATTTACATATAAACTTATACTAACATTACATATAATTATGTGTATAAATAAATATATCGTATCTATATAACAGATCGATATATAAAATTTAGAAAACAAAATGCCATCATCATGTTCAAATGGCCTTAAAATAGAAATCTAGGGGTGCCTGAGTGGCTCAGTAGGTTAAGCGTCTGACTCTTGATTTCAGCTTGGGTCAGGATCTCAGAGTTGGGGGATCGAGCCCTGCATGGGGCTACGTGCTGAGCCTGCTTGGGATTCTCTGCCCCTCTCCCCTGCTCACGCTCTCTCTCAAAATAAATAATACACATTAAAAAGAGAGTAATCTAATTGTATGCCTTTATAAATGAAACTGTGATCAACATCCTTAAATCTTAGTACATAACTTTATTTCCTTAGAGTAAATGATCAGATCAGAATCACTGTATAAAGGTACATAAATTAGTTATAAAAAGTATTTTTCACTTAACCTGAGCCTCCTCTGAACCCACAGCTTCACTAACCAAAGTTCTTTGTCTGAGACTGTTCGGTGCCCCTTAAAGCAATGTTGCCAAATCCAGAGCAGCTCAGGTTCTCCTAAGTGTCTAAAATGATTCATACTTACTTTCCGAGGTTTCACTTTATCTTGCAGATCATACTGGCCGATTCCTTTGTAGCTGATTCCAAGCCACCAAGGAAGTCCTTGTTTATCCTGGAAAATGGAAAAGGATGAGAACCGAGCCCTTAATTGTTCAATCTTCTAGAGGTGAAGATCTACCAATTTCATAATTTACCAAGTATCAGCTAGTCAAAATAAAGCTGGCTTGGTAAACAAAACATTACTTACACACCTAACTTGTTTTTAAAATGCCTTCAAATAAGATCTTTAAGTTAAAACAGATTAATACTATCAATACCACCAAAAAGAATGAAACATTACTGTCTTGACTGAACAGCTGGAGAGAAGAAATAAAATATAAAAACTAATCCAGAGTATAAAGCCAGTTATCCATTTAAAAAAGAAAAGAAAGAAAAAAGAGAAAGAAAAAAAAAAGCTCTCTGCTCTCTTGATTAGAAACCAACTATAAAGGTCAGGGAAGTTTCCAAAGAATTATAAAGATGAGAAAAGAGGTCCCAAACCTGATGTTTATAATCCAGTTAACAGTGAGCATGGGAATACTGAAAAGCTCTTTTGGAGAACTGTATGATTCAATGGCAGGATGTTTGAATAATCACTTTGAGGTACATATGGGGAGGGGAGGAATTTTTTTTTTCATAAATCTTTTTTTTTTTTCCAAAATCTTTTAGGTTTTGCCAAAGTAAAGGACGCATTGACACAAGGAAAGAAAAATTTAGGCTTAAACATATACCTGTATACAAACAAATTAAGAATCAGGAGAAATTAGAGGCGCTTGGGTGGCTCAGTCGGTTGAGTGTCCAACCTGATTTTGGCTCAGGTCATGATCTCATGGTCCATGAGTTCGAGCCCCACATTGGGCTACTCACTGACAGTGAGGAGTCTGTTTGGGATTCTCTCTCTGCCCCTCTCCTGCTCACACACACACACACACACACACACACACACACACTCTCTCTCTCTCTCTCTCTCTCTCTCTCTCTCTCTCTCTCTCTCAAAATGAATAAACTTAAAAAAAAATAATCTGTAGAAATTAAAGTTGAATTGGTACTTATTTTTAGTACAAGGTGCAAGGTGCCCTCATTATGCAAGTATTTATTATTCAATCCCCTACCATTCTGAATTGCAAACACTGTTGTAACTGGAAAAGTCACTCAAGATTGATCAATGGTAAAATTATTCCCTTCAAACAAGATTCCCTCCTTAACACTGCTTTATCCCTTACCATCTCAAAATATTTCTTAGTCTCTCCCTGCTTGAAAACACCTGAAAACAATACACAAATACAAACTATACCAATTGAAAATTGGTATTGCAAATCCTGCAAAAATTTGAGAACTTTATGAAGTATTGAAATGACAATGTAGAGTTTATGATTCTTGGGACACCCAGCTGGCTCAGTTGGTGAAGCATGTAACTCTCGATCTTGGGGTTGTGAGTCCGAGCCCCACGTTGGGTGTAAAGATTACTTAAAAATAAAATCTTGGGGCGCCTGGGTGGCTCAGTCGGTTGAGCGTCCGACTTCAGCTCAGGTCACGATCTCGCGGTCCGTGAGTTCGAGCCCCGCGTCGGGCTCTGGGCTGATGGCTCAGAGCCTGGAGCCTGCTTCCGATTCTGTGTCTCCCTCTCTCTCTGCCCCTCCCCCGTTCATGCTCTGTCTCTCTCTGTCTCAAAAATAAATAAAACGTTAAAAAATTAAAAAAAATAATAATAAAATAAAATCTTAAAAGAAAAAGAAAGTTTATGATTCCCAGATAAAGGGGCTATCAAGAGAATATCTGGGGAGCGCCTAGGGGGCTCAGCTGGTTAACCATCTGACTTCAGCTCAGGTCATGATCTCGCGGTTTGTGAGTCTGAGCCCTCCATTGGGCTCTGTGCTGACAGCTGAGTCTGGAGCCTATTTTAGATTTTGTGTCTCCCTCTCTCTCTCTGCCCCTCCCCAGCTCACACTCTGTCTCTATCTCTCTCTCAAAAATAAATAAATATTTAAAAAAATTTATTTTAAGAAGAGAGGGGTGCTTGGGTGGCTCAGTCAGTTAAGTGTCCGACTTTGGCTAAGGTCATGAACTCACAGATCAAGGGTTTGAGCCCCACATTAGGCTCTGTGCTGACAGCTCAGAGTCTTTAACCTGCTTCAAATTCTGTGTGTGTGTCTCTCTCTCTGCCCCTCCCCCCAATCATGCTCTGTCTCTCTCTGTCTCAAAAACACATAAACATAAAAAAATTTTAATTAAAAACAAAGAGATTATCTGGTAGCATTAGGCAGGTGAACAACTGGGGAAGAGAAATAGCAGCTAAAATAGATAAAAGGAATAGATGTGCCAAAAGAGAATAATCTGAGTATGTTAGGATTAATAGGGATTTGTGGGAAACATCTGAACACAGCAAGTATTTTGCAAAAAGAGCGTGCTTTATAATTTGCTATCAATGACAAGGCATAATCAGGCTTTTGTAAAAAAAAAAAAAAAAAAATCAATCGTATTTTATTTTATTATTTTTTAAATAAGTAATTAATTTTGTTTTTTATGCTGAAATTTACAGAGATAATTTGCACAAATATGCATATTAATTTATGTGATTTTAGAAGTTGGTGCTATTCACTAATTCCCAAAGTCACGTGGGTATTATGAAAGCTTTGTCATGTAAAAGTATTTACCTTTACTGCGTAATAATGGACTCCATAGGTTGGTAGAGCTTCTACTATTTTCATATACCTATGAAAAATGAATAGTATATATTATAATCTCTTCATAAATTAGAGGATCCTTTTGGGAAAAATGATGTACAGAAGCACAATTTGTATGTACTTTCCTCATTACAACCATGACTAATGTCCTTGACTACAGTAGAAATAGAATAAGCCATTCTAGGGAGTAATATATTTTACCTTACCCAAATGTTAGGAAGTTGCTAACAAAACGTCAATTTCCAAAAGCTACAGGAAATGTTAATTTCTGCATATTAAGATTTCTACGGCTTAGAACATACTGTACTGTATCGTAAACCCAAATTGCAAGTATTTTTTAAACTAAGCACTTAATGATGCAAAGCAATGAGAATCAGCTTCTGGGTCATGCTTGTAGTAAGTAAAAAATAAAACAATTCTGGGGCACCGGGCTGGCTTAGTCGGTAGAGCACATGGGGTTGATCTTGGGGTTGTGAGCTGGAGCCCCGTGTTGGGCATAGAGATTACATACACACGTACATACATACATAAGTACATAAACAGTTAAAAAAATAAACTGATCCCATTTACTGACTACTAAACTCTCAGGAATATATGCTTTACTCTTAGGTCTAAACTCTAATAAGAAATATGTACCTAAAAAGGGTGAATTTTATTATATACTGTATATACAATTTTGTTGTATTTAAAAAATGTGTTCCCCAAAATAAAAATTAATGATGCTACTATTTACTATTTTTAATTCAACAAATATTTATTGTGTACTTCTAAGGTTTTATAGAGTGAATTATATTGTGTAAGACTTCCTCTCTGTTCACAAAGACTTGAGGTTCCTGTTTAGTACAAGTGGACTTTTTTTTTTTTAACTTTTTAAAAAATGTTTATTTATTTTTGAGAGCTAGAGAGACAGAGTACAAGTGGGGGAGGGACAGAAACAGAGGGAGACACAGAATCTGACAGGCTCCAGGCTGTGAGCTGTCAGCACAGAGCTCAGCACAGAGCCCAACACGGGGCACCAACTCACCAACCACGAGATCATGATCATGATCATGGCTGAAGTCAGCCACTTAACGGAATAAGCCACCCAGTCGCCCCTCAAGTGGACTTTTTAATGCTATTTTGAATATCAATTGCTCTGGGTTTTGTAATCAATACTTCGATACTTTTAAAAAGTAAATGACCTATATGTAAATGAATGTAAGAAGAGGTTAGGTACATGGGGGCTCCTGGGTGGCTCAGTTGGTAAGCATTTGATTTCAGCTCAGGTCATTATTTCACGGTTTGTGAGTTCAAGCCCTGCATTGGGCCCTCTGCTGTCAGCAGAGAGCCCGCTTAGGATCCTCTGACTCCCTCTGCCTCTCCCCTGCTTGTGCTCTCTCTCTCAAAAACAAACAAACATTAAAGAAAAGAGAGAGAGGTTAATGGTAAATGTGCCAACAACATTCAACAAGTACACTGCACAGCCAAGATCCTAACAGAGAGTTGGATTCCACGGTCTAGAGCTTTAACCACCAAGTTAGTCTCGTATTTGGAGCCACAACGATAATGATCAGGGGAAGTAAAAGGACTCTGCATTTAAGCAAGGGCACTTCATAACATGCTCATTAGCCTAACCTAAAATCCTTCAGGGAAAATTTTTACACCTCTTTTGTCCCTCCCAGAAAACAGGAACAATGAGTTCAAACGTCAAGGGTTCAATTTCAGGACTGCTAATTTTTGATTTCTGCCTTGGAGATCACAGGGTGTTTTGTGATGAAAAGGAGATTAGTGCCAGTGGTGGAGGTGTGAGGGAAATCTACACACTGGCCAGAGGAATAGCAATCTCCAAGTTCTTATTTTGGTTCTTACGTGCTCAGAGCGACATTCTTATTTTGGTTCTTCCGTGCTCGGAGCGACATTCCCGCAGATTTTTACAAGAATGTCTATGGCCATAAAAGTTATTCTACAATTACTAGAGCAATAATGCTATATTCATTTTTATAATTTTTAAAATTTAAATTTATAAATTTAGTTTCTTATAATTTTAAAACTTTAACGTAACTTGTGAACTATTGTTAATAAATGAATGGTTACTCTATAAGTCTAAAATGCAGAAATAGGGGCACCTGGCTGGCTTAGTCGGTAGAGCATGTGACTCTTGATCTCTGGGTTGTGAGTTCAAGCCCCACATTAGGTATAGAGATTACTTAAAAATAAAAACTAAAAAAAAAATAGAATAAAATGCAGAAATATATCACTATGGTCCGTTATTGGTAGCATGAAGATATAGACAACCCAACACCAACACTGTATGCTCCACCCAAAATAGAGTCACAAGCCGGGCAACCACACATGGCCTCCAGATAGGTTTTCTTTGGCTCAGATTGTAATAAAATTTTCTTAAAATTGCTTTGCAATGTTTAAATTGGGATTTAAAAATCAGAATTTCCAGTACTTCTTAGACAGTATCAGGTCTGACATTAGGCCTGATTTCCAGAGCTGAATCACCTTGCCTTTACCCAGGGTAATAGCTCTCCAGATCACCTCAATCCCCACCATTCCCTATTACCCTACACCTGGCCTACATGTCTCATTTTTGCTACCTACCTGACACTGGTAGGCCTCTGAATTGATGACATCAACTATGGAATGACCCAAGGCATTTTATAATTCATATGAAGGTATTTCTAACCAGATGGGGACTATATACAAACAAAATATATAATAGAAATCATTTCATATGATTTCTTCAAATAGGAGACATTAAAATTATATCTAAACAAAAGGAAAGACAGATACTTACTGAACCACAGCTTGACCCCGGGTCAGACCTTTGATTTTCAAATAATGCTCAATCACCCTGTCCTCACTGTGAAACAAGCAAATGAGAAATATGACAATGTATGATTATATGAGATACAGACTCATTTTCAAGATTCTCAGGTGGCTTATTGAGAAACAAGGAAAATGCCTTCACTAACCTGTTTGGGATACAGAAGCTGGATGACTTTTGTTTTTGTAGAACATGGATTTCTGAACCTCAGACAGGACTACCTCATCATGATTTCTGATTTAAATTTTATATGCTATATAATATATTAATATGTTTTAAAACTTAATCTATTGGAAAAGAACAGGATTTCAATTTATCAAATGAAAAACTAGTATTTTTTGCCATAATTGAATGGGACAAAACAAATACAAAATAATGTCACTAAATCCTAAGTAGTGAGCCTTGCTAGGGAAATTAAAAGGCTTAAAAAAAGAGATCAGCAAGTATTAAATACATTTTTAAAAATTATCCATGAAGATTTAGAAAGGATTAAAACTGTTCTGAGTCTTGTGCAATCCAAAACACTCTCTTGTCACTCACTACCTGGGGACACAATGTTTTCAGAGAAAACCCTTCATTATTGTCCCAGCATAAAACTTGTTGACTGGAGGGGCACCTGGCTGGCTTAGTCAGTAGAACATGACACTCTTGATCTTGGGGTCATGGGTTTGAGCCTCACATTGGAGGCAGAGATTACTTAATAAAAAAAAAAAAAAAAAAAAAAAAAAAAAAGTAAAAAAAAAAACAACTTGTTGGCGAGAAAGGCAGAACTAGGCTGCAGTCTGTCACCTTTAGAAAACAATTTTTTTTTAAATGTTTATTTTATTTACTTTTGAGAGAGACAGACCATCAATGGGGCAGGGGCAGAGAGAGAGGGAGACACAAAACCTGAAGCAGGCTCCAGGCTCTGATCTCTCAGCACAGACTCAGATGAGGGGCTTGAACTCATGAACCACAAGATCATGACCTGCCCCGAAGTCGGACGCTTAACCGACTGAGCCACCCAGGCACCCCTGAAGTCTGTCACCTTTGCTGTCACTGAGCTACTGTCCTTTTCTTTCAGATACCTATCATATCTCAAATATAACCTAGAAAGATAAATGTTTTTATCTCTACACAACCAGTAATCAGTGGTAAAAGGCCTTTTTTTTTTTTTTTTT